GCACAATGACCTGTGATGGGGCGATATCTGGATATGAAAATAAGCATCTTTCAGATCCACTTGAGAAAACCAATCCCCTGGGCGAATCTGCGCAAGTATTTGTTGTGAATAACAAAGGAGAAAACTCTCACTGAGAAAGAGTCGCGCGGGGGCGGGGCTGGCGTGGGCTCACTTGTTTTTGAACGCTCATTAATACTCTAACCCCACCTTTGTGAACGGGAGGGCGCAAGGGATGGGGTCGTTTTCTGTACGTAACCGTGCGTTCACACACACCGGAGCGTCAAAGTGGCCGGAAGTCATTCATTTTCAATGAGAGCCGGCGGCAAGCTCCGGTCAGGGCGGCGCGGCGCGTCTTGAACGGCGAGGAGAAGTTGAAGTCAGGTCAACTTTATGGTAATGAGCTATGACACGGTTCGGCGGCAACCAATCAGAATTTAGAAGTGTTCCGTTTGAGAGGATTCCAGGGAATGCAGTCCTGTAAACTTTGGTTCCGACCTCATTAGTTCCCAAGCAAAATAGAGGAAAGGTTGACCATTTGAATTTGATAAGGCGCGCAATACTATTTATAGGCAAGATTTTCGCGCTAGAACCCTTGTTTTTGAGCGGGAATGCAAATTAGATTAGCACTTAACCATTAACACAAAAGCCACACCACACAAATGGCTTTTAATTGGTTTATTTCGTTAGCAAACATGTCACTATAATCGTAGTTCTTTCCAATGATCAATTTCTTACTTTCACATTTAAAAGATTCCATGAGGTTAACTTATACCCTACTTGGTCAGTCTGCAAAAAAAAAACGATCGACATGCTTGTATGCTTTGAGGCCCCTTTAAATACAGTTTTAAAAAAGACCAAGCATTTGATCTACGTCAGAGCGTCCATGAATCTTTTCACGGCGTTGTTGGCAGGGCGGCGAGAGCGAATTTTGAGCTGCAAAGAAGCTCTGGCCGCCCTGTCAAGGACACTTGCTAAAAAGTACGGGGAAGCTTGTTGACGCTTTGGCCGCTCTGACGTAGCAGCATTCTATGTTCGATCATAGGAGAAGAGAAGTGTCACAACATGAAATGTAAACAGAAAAAACAAGCAATACATTGACACTAGAAACCTTTTATAATGACAGCATTTTTATAACCGATTTGGCAGGGAAAAAAATAATAAGCTATTAATTATTATTATTATTTGCATCTAGTGCAATCGCTGAACCGCGTCATAGCTCATTACCATAAAGTTGAGCTACTTTCAACTTTCTGATTGGCGCTCTGGTCGCTCAAAACGCCAAAACGCGACGCAGATGGATTTGATGCTCCTTGCAGCTGAGAGAAGCCAGCTTCCATTGAAAATGAATGACTACCTGTAAATTTGGAAGCAAAAGGTGGCGGCGGTGTGTACGTACAGTAAGGAAGCTGGCCGCGAGCGCAGTGAAAAGTGGCATCATTTTCACCTGCTTTACCTGCTGCCAGAGCCGGGATTTGAACACGGGTCTCCGATTCCATCTTGGAATCTTAAGGCTGGAAATGTCAATATTGCTGCAACTATTGCAAATATTGCCCCCGAACTAAAAGGGGGACTGGTAAATGTGTGAGAAATGGAGGTTGGTCCGGCCTCTGCGGGACTCAAACACTCTCTTTCTTCCTTTCGCCGATGTGAGTGACGCAGTTTTGAAAACTCTCACAGTGTCCGTCTGGGTCATGCAGAGAGCTCGAGAGGGCTCTGCATGACGTGCGAAACGGGGGAGCGAGGGCGGGGTAGCTCTCTTGAACGTAAAGAGAGCTAGCCGCGGGCGCGAACAGCGCTCGTGTGCGTCCGCTTTGGCATCCTTTGTGCATGGCGCTTCTTTTTGCGTGGCTCAAGCAAAGGGGAGGAAGAGCGGGAAGCGCGGGGTCATCATCGACGAAACCAGCCAGTCGAGCCAGCAGGGTGGGGAGATCCATCTCGTCGCACTCAGGACAGCCGCCCTCAACGAGTGCAGCTTCCGCATGGTCACGGCCCAGACAGGAAGAGCAGAGGATGTGACGGTCTCCGCCGAAGACAGGGCCTTTGACAAGGCGTAGGTGGTTCAAGGCATTTGCAACAACGCCTCAAATTTGCTTTTTAGAAAAAGTGTGACGCAACGGCGAACACACTAATGCGTTAAAAGGATATATAGGGTGGCACAGCAGAACAGCAGGCTGAAGGCGGCGTCCAGTTGAAAAACCATGAAAGCCGGCGTCCTCAGAACTGCAAGGCAGGTGGCTTGCTCCGCTGAAGGGTTTTTCGACGGTGGCGAGAAGGCTTCTCATCCAGAGATCAGCGAAGTGGTGAGTTTGCTGAAGGAGATAAAATCTGGAGTTCCTAGGCGATGCTTGGTCCCTTTATGTCGTAGACCACGCCCATTCTGCCGGGCTCTGATGTGTCAGGGCGCGAAGTGCCATCTGAGCCGCCTCGCCATAGGTTCGTGCAGTTGCCGCAGCACAGTCAATGACCGCGCTCGCACTCATCTGTATCTGCTGTGCAGCTACACTGCGTTGTAAAAATTTGGCTTCAATATTCTCAAGAAAAAGAGTTTTCCCATAGCGTAAGCTAGCCTTACGCAATACAAGAGACCTCTCGAAAGGGAAACACCTTTTTGTAGGTGTTGTGATACATATTTGCATTCCCCTTGCAAACAACATGTCCAACATATTTTGAATTCTGAAGCCTATTAAATATAATGTTAAATAAAATCCATATAAGGCAACAATAGGCCAGGGCCTATTAAGAGGTCTCGGTAAACTTCCAAGAGGGCCTCAAGGTGACTTAAAAGGATTTAAAATAAGACAAAACAAGCATTATAATAGGCTAAAAAACAGTTTTGGGGAGTAGCTAAGTAGCGACGCTACTAACTTAACAAAATTTTTCAGTAGCATGACAGTAGCTCAGTTTCTCAGCTCAGCTTTTCCAGTAGCTAACTACTTCTTCCATGTATGAAAGAAGTGCAGTGTCTTCTTCTAGAGTGCATTCCCGCCATCTATTGTTTTGTCACGCCTCTTTACGGTTTACTAAGGCTGTGTCTGAACTTGCCCCCTAAACCCTCACCATAGTTCACTTGAGGTTGTGAATGAAAACGAGTGAGTGAATTCGAACAATGAGTGCGCCGGAAGGCCTGCCGCTTTTGCATAGTCTGTGCTTGCTTTTTAATAATTATTTGAAACTTGGCAAACTGGCAGCCCCAGTAGTAAGAGGAAAAGATTTATCTTGAACTCTGTCATAGAAACTATGTATAAACCTTAATTAAACAATTAAATAATCAATTAAAATAGAATTTATGCCTGTATAATATTCCGCTGTAGTCACATTGGACACACCTTGGAAAATGGATGGATGTTGAGCGTACATCGGTTGTATACTAGTTTTTGCGGTGCATTGTGTGCACTCGATAACGTCCAATATTGTTTTGAACACCACTATAAATGGCTGTGCCCTTAAATAGTGCCCTATTTAAGGATACAAGGGGCGATTTCGGACACAGCCAAAGAGATTGTCTGATGATTATGTTAAGAACGGTTGAGTTGATATTTCACATGAATCGACTAGTAAAGGTTAAACTTTGGTATGTAATCTATGCAAACCAAAGATAAAACGCTGTCTGCGTCGAAGACTTCAAGCACGAATTTAAGGACGCACATACAGGTGAGTAATAGATTAATTTTGCTGCTTTATTGCACTCTTTATAAAATGTCTGTTTCTGTTTTAAATACAATGATGAATCAGTGTTTCCTAGAATAATCTGTCCTGCTACAATTTCGCAATGAACCTTAAAAGATCCCTAACGTTGTATTTTTCGCCATTGCTTTGGCAAAGCATCTGTCAATCGAACAGAAAATGAATTCACAATATACCTTTGTGCATTTATCACATGGCAAAGGCTATGATTTATTTAAATAGGTATATAGCTTAGTTTGTTGTGGCGGGTTTCAGAGCGAATCTCAGAGCTGCTCCGTTCACAGAAAATGCTGCGAGCTCCATCACTGCATGTGCTGTGGGCTTACCATACATTTTTGACTACTCCTGTATATCCAATTTAAATTGCATGCATTTTGTTCTTGCAATGATGTTACATTTGTTGCAATTTTTTAACTTTGACAAACAGTCAGTTTGAGATATATATTTGAGTATTGTGTGTAGGTTATATATGGATAGTTTACAAAATAAGACAATATAGACTATTCTTTGAAATCACAATTGTATTGCATTACGTTTTTTTAAACGTTTTAAAAAAGCAGATTCAATATAGCTAGAGCCTTTTTGATTGTAACTTGTAGTGTAGCTAACCTGGATATATGAGGTAGCCTAATTTTGAAAGTTTGATTTCTAGACCTGGAAAAGTCATGAAAATTAATAAAATCTTAAAGGAATAGTTCACTTAAAAATCATTTACACACCCTCAAGTTGTTTGAAACCTGTATGAATTTCTTTCTTCTGCTGAACACAAAGGAATATATTTTGAAGAATGACAGAGATGACAGAGTTTTCATTTTTAAGTGAACTATTCCTTTAAAACGTCATGGCATTTTATAATGAATAGACATTTTACACGTTTTTCTAAGCTATTGTAGTAAAAATCCTTATTCGTAATCCTTATCCAGTGAATCACAAATGACTAAATTACAGCTCCTAAAACTTCTGGAATAGACTCTACTTTTTTGTGGACAATGGAGTCCCATTGGTTGAGAACCGATTGATCTAAAGTGCAAATTAAGGCAAACGCATGAGAGAACTATTTAGCATTCCAAACTAATGGAAAAATGAAGAACCTGCTCTTTGATGAAATTAACTTAGGCCATCCAGTCTATGAACACACTATATCCATGAATTACCGGCCTATCACTGAGCAGTAATTAATGGGTCTTCTAATAGGATCTTTAAGCGAGAGGGTGGACCTGTTAGATGCTTTGATTTATGAAGCATACTCCACTCTCGCTCTGAATGAACTGAGGTATAATGGGAGAAGTAGGAAGTTCTTAAAATACATTACTTACGGAGTCTCCACGCTCTTTCTGCAGTGTGTTATAGACAGAGGGGGATCTGTCGAAGAGAAAACCGGAGAGAAAGAAAGCAATTAGAGATTTAACACATGCATAAAAAGACTCATTTCCTGATGAAAAGCACACTAAGAGCTTGTTGGGAGTTCTGCAGCATCATTTGTGCAATAGTGGCAGTTACCTGTTATTTAAACCTCATCATACTGTAAGAGAACAAGATAGTGGGGATGTCTTGAATGTTAAATAAATGGAATTGCTTTAGACAAAAAAAGTCTCCCAGTCTGTTTGAATTGCATCAAAGTCTTCAGTCTGTCTGTAGGGTAAGATGTAAAGTGCATGGGGTTTGGATGAGAAAGAGAAGGACATTCTGGCCGTAAGGGCACCACTGACCTCGTCTCCTCTTGAGCTTACGCCGTCTCTGTTTGTTGACGAAGCAGGCTGCTAGTGTGCTGAAGAGGACGGCTGCTGCCAGGAAACAGATGGTGGCCACAATGCCTGCCACCACCGGCCGCGCCAGTCCCTCGTCTGGCACCTCAGGCGGCGGGAAATAGTCTGAAAGATACAAACAAGCTCGCCTTCAGCACACACACACACAAGCTCTTTCATTCTTAGTTGCCTAAGACGGGCTGTTTTAACAATAAACCATACAGCTCATTTTGTATTATTTAGTTAATAGGAGGGAAGGTTGGAAAGACTGAAACATGAAATAGCCAGCTATCTTGATTCATAAAGACATTAAAAATACATTTTAAATCACAGTGGGATGCTTTAAGAAATTAGATCAAAGACTGAGCAGCCTCACATTTATTTTGACTTCAAGTAGTGATTGAATTCCGACTGTTGTGCTAAAACTATCTATTTAGTGAAATCAATCATTAGGGGTGGTTGTCAATCACTAGAATATGGTAACAGACAAGGTTTGTCAACAGAACGAAATATAATAAAATACACCAATCATGTAAAAAAAAACAGGTTTACACTATTGTTCGAACGTATTTCTTTTTATTAGAAATTAATACTTTTATTCAGCAAGGATGCATTAAACTGATCAAACAGTAAATGCTGTTCTTTGAACTGTCTATTCATAAATCATGAATATATATATATATATATATATATATATATATATATAGTAGCACAACTGTTTTCAAAACTGATGTTAATAATAAGAACTGTTTCTTAAGCACCAAATCCGCATATTAGAATGATTTCTGAAAGATCATGTGACACTGAAGATTGGAGTAATGATGCTGAAAATTCAGCTTTGCCATCACAGGAATAAATTACATTTTTAAATATATAAAGACTGAAAACAGTTATTTTAAATTGTAATAAAATTTTACAATATTACAGTTTTACTGTATTTTTGATCAAATAAATGCAGCCTTATTGAGCATAACTTAACTGACCCCAAACTTTTGAATGGTAGTATATGGTGACATATATCAAAAGTGAATATTTTCAAAAGTTAAAATATCCCCTTAAAAGTGATAATAAATATTTTGCCTACTAAATACTAAACAAACTGGCATGCCCATATTCTTTGTTAAATATTTATTTTTGTATTTGTATTTTCAGTGAACATTAACTGTGGTTTGAGATATTGAAACTATAAAAAAATTGTCTGACTATATTCAAACAAAAAGAACACTATGCATCCAATATTTCTAAATGTGAACTTCCTTTAATTCTCAAACAAATGAAATAATTCACTTTACATCCATCAGATGGCAGCAGAGTCTCATCAAACCACCACTAATTCAGAGTCAACGCATTCCATTAATGTGTGTGTGAGCCTACACAAAAATGTCAAGAGTACATTACAAAATATCACCGTACATGTTTTAAAATCCTCAGTATGGGCACTGACCTGTGCTAGAGACTCCCACTACATTACTGGGCTCACTGACAAGGCCCTCCATAACCGCTATCACTCTGAACTCATACCAGGCCTCCTGTAAAACAATGCAGAGAGAGACATTTACAGCATGTTTCCTTTAAATAGGTGTATTACCTGAAATCACTAGAAAAATCAGTCCACTGAAGGTTCAGTTGTAGTAGATTCAGATTGGAATAAATTTGCATCCAAATGTGACAAATATGCAAAAAACTTCTGAACTTTTCATTACTGTGAGTAAAACCTTGAGGAAGATGTCTGTCGTTTTGCTTTTTTCCTTCAAATTTACATTTTAGAAAATGTAATAAAAATATAATTTGCATGGATGTCAAATGGTCATAAAAGTTTATAGTTATAGTTTATCCTCAAATACTGCAGAAATGGCAAAACGAGCTGTGTGTCAAACTTTTGAAATTGTGATCACAGGTATACCTGAACCAGGTCTCTAGCCAAGAGCTCTGTCTCTCCAGCAGGGATTGCATCATCAAGTACATCCCACCTCTCCCCGAGGCGGAAGTCCATGATGTAGTGATCAATTGGCGACGTGTGATTGGCTGGAGGGATCCATGTGAGTAGGACTCCCTGCTGTGTCCGGTTGGCTGTGAGGCACCGTGGTGGGGTAAGCAGCACCAGTGGTTCTGGGGTACTTATAGGAAATACTAGAGGGAAGAAAGCAAAACACTGTATCATCATAATATGCAGATATTATGCACAAGAATGCATTATTCACAAGAATAATATTTCTTATTATTATTAATGTTGAAAACTGTTGTGCTGCTTAATATTTTTGGTACTTTTTTCAGGATTCTATGAAGAATAGGAAAAAATTGCATTCATTTTGAAAATAAATATTTTGTAACATTATACATGTATTTTCTGTCACTTTTGGTCAATTTAATGCATCCTTGCTGAAACTGCTGACCCTAACTGTCTGAACGATAGCGTTTTAGAAGAGATAAATGTGCTAGTAATTTTAGTATTTGTTGCTAGTATTAGTATTTTTTTCTAGTAGCGTTTTTGGTAACACTTAACTTCAACCCTTTATGTATGAAGCGTTATAAAGGTATTCATAATGTACATTATAATGCATTATATGTTTTCATAAATAATTGTAACCAAAGTTAAAAAGCATTATAATATTTGCAGATTAATTGTTACATCTGAAATTGGTTGTTTGTCATGATGTGTTTTAATGTATTATACTTTCTAAAGTATTGGGACACCTGACCATAACACCAACAGGGACTTAAATGACATTGTATTCTAAATACATAGACATTAATATGGAGTTGGTCTAACCTCTGCAGCTTTAACAGCTTTCACTCTTCTGGGAAGGCTTTCCACAATAATTTAGAGATTTTCTGTGGGAATTTTTACTCATTCAACATACAGAGAATGGATGAAATAGCCAAAAGGTCTAAATGGACCTTGCTTTGTCACTGTCAGTCAAGCTAGAATAGAAAAGGGCCTTCCCCAAACAGTTTCCACAAAGTTGGAAGCATAGTATTGTCCAAAATGTCTTGGTATGGCGAAGCATTAAGATTTCCCTTCACTGGAAGTAAGGTGCCTAGCCCTAACCCCTAAACAACAGCTCCATACCTTTATCCCTCCTTCACCAAACTTTACAGTTGCCACATTGCAAACCCAGATTCACCCATCAGACGGCCACACAGAGAAGCGCGATTCATCACTCCACAGAACATGTCTCCACTGCTTTAGAGTTCAGTGGCAGTACATCCCTCCATCCGATGCTTGTCATTGTACTTGATGATGAGGCTTATATGCAGCTGCTCAGGCATGAAAACCCATTCCATGAAGCTGCCGCACAGTTTTTGTGCTGATATTAATGCCAGTGAAAGTTTGGAACTCTTGATGACTTTTAGGCACCATGCGCCGCCCTCAGCACTTAATGACTTTGCTTTGTGACATTACATGGTCTTCTTCTTTGTGGCTGAGTTGCTGCTGTTCCTATACACTTTCCAATAATACCAATTACAGTTGGACGCAGAATATCTAGCAGGGATGAAATTTCACAAACTGACTTAGTGCAAAAGTGGCATCCTATACACAGTACCACGGGTGAAATCACTGAGATCTTCAAAATGACCCATTTTTTTCACTAGTTTGTAAATGCAGACTGCATGGCTAGGTGGCTGATTTCAAACAGCTGTTGCAATGGGCCTGACTGAAACACCTGAATTCAATAATTAAGAGGTGTGGCCCAATACTTTTGTCCATAGTGTATATAACATGGTGTAATATACAGGTGAAACTCGAAAAATTTGAATATCGTGCAAAGGTTTCAGTAATTCAACTTAAAAGGTGAAACTAATATATTATATAGACTCATTACATGCAAAGTGAGATATTTCAAGCCTTTATTTGTTATAATTTTGATGATTATGGCTTACAGCTATAAAACCTTTTCCCAATATTTTAATTTTGAATTTGGGGTTTTCATAAGCTGTAAGCCTTAAATCATCAAATGAACTTTTGCACGATATCGAGTTTCACCTGTAGTTAGAATCAAGAATTTGTTGCTTCTTTAGAAGTACTAAAAAAAATCAGTGAGGAATCATAAAATGTTAAGAGTCAGAATTTCAACTTTAATCGCTTAATTCTTAGCGTTTCTATCCCTACTATAAAATGGACTTCTGTCAGGCAGAGATGAACTTGTCACTGAATGTTGGATCGCACGGCTGACCAACCTAGTGTGTTCACAGTGACGACCTCGCTGAACGGGCCTGTTCCCAGCTTGTTCTGGGCCAGGACGCTGAATTGGTAGGCCGTCTCGGGCTCCAGGCCTTGCACCAGGAGCCAGTGCTGCCCGCTGGGCACAGGCATGGACAGCCAGTCATGCGGTCCTAACTGCTCCCTCTTCACCCTGCAGGAGGAGTCACATGCACAGATGGAAAAAGTTGTCATGCATGCACATACGCTTGGATAATGATTATCACGTCGCTCACAACACTGATGAGAGCACTGCCTGCAGCTTGACGGAAAAAGACAGCTTGTTTGGCTCAGTGTGAGTGCTCAGTGATATCCAATAATACAAAACTGTCTCATCATTTCCCAGAGGAAATCCTGAAGAATGCACCTGCATTTTCAACACCTTGTACGCCCTACATCCCTTTTCTCTGGCTCTCTTGGGAATGACCTATGGCTTGAAATGAGTCTTATGGACAATACATCTCTTACAGGAAACAGTAAGAATGGCTGCAATGTTTTGGATAAGTGGAATAGAAAGTATATTTGGTCACACTTTAGAATAGGGTCCAATACTCAAAATTAACTAACTATTAACCACAACGTTTGCAATAAACTCTAATTACAGCTTATTAATAGTTAATAAGGTAGTTGTTAAATTTGGGTATTCGGTAGGATTAAGGGATGAAGAATATCGTCATGCAGAATAAGGCATTAATATGTGCTTTACAAGTACTAATAAACAGCCATTGTCCTAGTAATATGCATGCTAATAAGCAACTAGTTAATAGTGAGAATTGGACCCCAAAATATTACTGTATATTTTAACATTTAGATTTTTTATATTTACAATGTATTGGTTTTTTTTAGCTACAGAAGCCAGTGACATCATGCCCTATTGCACACATCCGTTGCAAGTGTGACTGCATCTGCAACCAGTATTCTGATAAACTACTGCTCTTGGCATGCATGGAATGACGCCTGACGGATGTCCTATTGTTCCTATTGGTGTGAGTCATAACATTCCACTGAGGAGTAATTGATCACTTCCTCCATGCCCTTATAACATGAGAGTTCACAGGCTCTTGAGATGTGTGTTATTCACAGCATCTCAGCGGTCGCTCAGCACCTCTCCTGCAATACACAGGAAGTAGCAGGAACGCGGCAACTATCTGCGTCAACGAGGTTGACGGAAGCTGTTGTTTAATCTCACGTGGGTCACCTTTAAAGGCCATTCACACACAACCTTTAAAGCATGAGTCACACTGCCCAATGTTTCAAATGACACCTTTAGTCAGCTCTTGGCACAGGCCTCCAATCGTTCGGGTACCTGTGGTGGACACATCAGGCCAGTTGATAATGATGGTCTAAAAAGAAGTTTGATGCAGAAAGGTGAGGGAGGCCTGGAGGGTCCTCCGGAGGGCCTTCTATTATGCCTGTGTGGAGACTTCTTATGCCTGTGTGGAGTTCTCCATTAGTGGAAGGACTCAAGTTGGTACAGACTATGAAGAAATGCTGAGCGCATACAGACCCAATTTCCGCATATATGACATCGATCTGTCAGCAAAAATAAAATTGAAACTGAATTTAATTCTGATCTTGGCAATGTACATGGAAATAAATTTCTTGATGAGCGAAGTCAGATGAAAGTTCATGTCAGTGTTTTTCAATCTTAAAGCCACATTGTTTTATCCATGCTCTGCATGAAGAAGACTAATATTAATATATATATATATGTATATATATATGGTGTAATTATTCGGCCAAAGTTAGACAATGTATACTGCTTCAATTTCCAAAGAAATGACCACAAGCACTCATATGTACAATACTAAAAAAGAAAAAAAGCCTCAAGATTTTAATAATATGTCAGATTTGAGCAAAAAATCTGAAATTGGGCACCACAAATGTATATATGTATAAACAATACCAATCAAAAGTTTGGGGTTAGTCCCTTTTTTTTTATTATTAATAGTTTTATTTAGCAAGGATTCATTCATTTATTTATTTATTTTTTATTTATTTTTGAAACATTTCTATTTCACATAAATGCTGTTATTTTAAATCTTCTATTCAATAAAGAATTACAAATATATATATAATACAATTTTTATATTGATTTCTGAAGGATCATTTGACACCGAAGACTGGAGAAATGGCTGCTGAAATTTTAGCGTTGCCATTGCAGGAATAAATTATATTTTATGATTATATTAAAATAGGAAAGTTATTTTAAAATTGTAATGATATTTCACAATATTGCTGTTATTACTGTCTTTTGATCAATGCATCCTTGGTGAGCATAAGACACTTCTTTCAAAAACATTCAAAAATCATACCGACCCAAAACTTTTGAATGGTAGTCTATGTATATACAGTATGCCTATATATACTGTATATATCTATATATATATATATATATATATATATAAACTTCCCCTTGCATCTCATATAATCTCTAGACTTTCTCCTCTTTTTCTCCATGTGTCTCTAAACTCTCAGACTACATTTCATGACTATTTATAGCTTGAAAAGGACTGAAATATGTCACCAGGGCTTGTAACGGTCAAAACCTGTTCATGCTACATACCCATTAAACATGGCTGCCATCTGTTACCTGGTGTGACATTGGAAAAATATGTTCTAAAAAGAGTAAGTAGCAAAGCCACTATTTAAAGGAGCTTAAAAGACAAACGATTGAGATGTTCTTGCTCGTACCCATCGAAACAAACAAACAAAAAGCATGTGTCATTCTATAGGGGCAGGAGCACAGAGAGCTATAGAATGCTGATATTCCGGGTGAATATCGCAGAGGACAGCGCCAAAGAAGGAGCAGAATCACAGGGATGCAGAAGCGCTGGCATGGGCGGCAGAGAGATGAAGAGAGGCGAAGGAGACGAACGTGCTGAGCCAGAAGCGAGAGTTTGCCGTAATGGTCATGTCAATAACAAGAGTACCTCCGCAACCTATAACCTCTTTTAAACCTGATCGTCACCTTACCAGAGCAAGTAATGGAAACGTATAAAATTACGTTACAGTAAATACTTACTTGCAATTGCTGGCTCTCAGCATACGGTTACAATATCAAAAACTGTTTAGCACTGAACTGCGAGAAGGCACAAGACAAAGTCTTTATATTAATAAATACTTTTCATACATCACATATCTCAGAATCTATCATAGTTCAGAATCTATCAGGGCTTAATAAATACTGTATGTACAAACTGGAGGTTCACCGCACCTGCCAGACATTGGCAGTTCAATAAGCTGGACCTGTAGTTGATTAATTAGCATCTGAAAAGTTCTATTGTACTTCAACATCATCGTTTAGAACTTAATTTGATGTTTTTGATGTTAACTCACCCTCATGTCGTTCCATTGTATTAAGAGACATTTCTCCAAACATCTTTTTTTTTGTGTTTCACAAAAGAAATAAAGTCATACATGTTTGAAAAAAGACATGGCAGTGAGAGAAAATAAAGTAGAGAATCTTTCATTGAGTGAACTATACCTTATTTTTCTCACAGTATGAATGGGTCTGTATATATGAATGTAAACATGAAAATATATATAGCTGCCTTTATATTTTAGGAAGGGGGTCACTGTGATTAAATAAACAATAATAACAATAAAAAGGCCTTACCCTAACATACTGTAAATGTGGCTTCCATAACTATAATCAGCAGTAGACTGATCCTTCTAAATCACATGAACATGCCATTATTTTTAGTGTGCTGAAGTGATTAAAAAGCAGTCGAACTGCACACAACACCAAAATGGTCTTGTCATCTTAATAAGGTACTTTGCATGCAGCTCGACTCATAACAACTCCGTAGAGGGATTTTACTGCCAGATCATTCCAATTCTATCGTTATGAGCCAGATTAACATGGCCAGTATGCTAGGGAACTGCTTGTAGAGGGGGGGGGGGGGGGGGGGGGGGGGGGACTCAATAAAGAAAACAGTGGATCTGGACTAGTCATGAAATGATTATCTTTGTTCAAGACTTTCCGAAAAAAAAAAAAATTGGAAGTTATGAACAGTACTTTGAAGAACAAACTAGACTATTTTATTCATTATATGAACTACAAAAATTCCTAACTATGATGCTCTATACCCAAAATTATCTCCATAACATTTTAGCTGCATTTCCATTAATATTAAAAGAATGGAAGGCCCTGCTGGTCATCTCACCCATTGGGGGAAAGGTTTTGCCCTGTCCCACACCGTGCCCCCAGATGTAGCAGCCTCACAGCAGCAGCAGAGCTTAGGTCAACAGTTAGGAAAAGAAGCAGAAAGCAAAGCATGCTGGGATGACTCACACATGGCCGTACCAGACTGAGAATGTCTGCTCAAAGCCGCCATCGTAACCAGATTCCCACGAGACGTTGGCCGAGGTCGTCGAGACCGAAACGTGGACTTTGGCGGGGGCGTGTGGGCTTGTGCCTGTGGGAAGAGGACAGCTTGTGTCACACTTGATACAAACACACACTTGTACACAAAAGCTAAACCAAGGCCACACACATTTAATTTCCTGAAGCGTTGTCTGTAGAAAACCCTCGGACAGAGCGATTAGATCACTTGTCTTAACACAAACACTTGCGCTAACACAAACAAACAGACACAGTGTGCATTATTCATCCTTTATATCTTATTCAACAGATAACCGTTAGCTTGTAGGGATGCTTTTGAGTAAAATAATCCCTCTATACTAAGACACTGAAACATTTCAACAGTTTGAGTCCGCTCACAGCATATAATATCCCTCAGAGACCTGACCTACCGAAGGACTTTTACAGAGCTTTTTGTGAGGAACTCACTGAATAGCTAAAAGAGAAAACCTACAGTTTAGCCTAGCAGCTGCTGATCAGCGACTCAACAAAGATTCTTTAACTGACAGCTTCACTGAAGCTACACAAATCCAAACAGTGTCTAATAGCACAATGGATACTACAGGGCAGTGGGCAGCAATATAAGGACTTAGCTGGCAGTGTTGTTTTATAGCAGCACATGTTGCTAATAAAAATAGACCATGGCAACATTAGCATTTGTGCTACTCTCCTCTCCTCTAAATAAAAGGTTTTATTTATCAAAATAAATAAAACTGAAATAAAATAAAATATTATATAAAATATATAATATATAAATATTATATAAAATCATATCAGAATAAAACTAGAAAAATATATGTTGACTACAGAAATTTCAATTAATTTAAAAAAAATTCCCTTTTCATGACCATGGGAACCCAGGGTCAAAAACCACTGTCATCCAGCAAAATATAAACAAAAAATACATTATGCACCTTTAAAAAAGTAACAGGGTTGAGTCTGTATGATGTAATATGATCAAAAAACATTGCTGTATGGAAGAATCACTTTATTGCAAGTAGTGTTTGTGCATCATGAAGTTGCACCATTTGTCTCCTACGCCTCCTACCGATTACTAGGAGGTGCGTGCTGGCAGTGATGCTCGTGGCGACATTGGAGGCGACACACTCCCACTCCCCGTGGTCCTCCTTGCTGAGAGATTTGAACTGTAAGCTGCCTCTTGGTAGGACGTTGTGCTTGCTTCTGCTGGGCTTCCCTACCTTCTCCAATAAAAGAAAACAGTTCTAGCAAGCGGTTGGGTTGGGTTGACAATGATACAGGATCCTCCTCAAGGATCGTTATAGATGCGGCTTACCTTTCTCCATGTAATGTTGGGGAATGGGTCTCCTTCTGCCTCACAGGGGATGACCAGTTCTCGACCAGCCTCCTGCCTGTACTCCCCTCCAGGAACCACCAGAAATTTGGGTGGGTCCTATCCATCGCCAAACGATCGCCACGTTATATTGATGCAAATTGATGACGTAATTAACAAAATGTGTTATTCTTTACCTTTAGCACCAGGGGGGCGGGAGGGGACTGTCCCATTGTACCGAGGCTATTGTAAGGCACGCATGTGTAGGTGCCGAGAGAGTCCTCTGTCACCTCAGACACTCGAATGCTCCCATCTTCCATTTGGCTCCAGCCAGGGTACTGCAACAAAGAGAAAAGTCCCATCACACCCAGCATACACAACCAGAGCAAACCGTTTCCTGAAGCTCAAACAGTCCAGCATGATGCTTGCAACGCCAAGGTTTTGATGCTCAAATTTGATTCCCAGGGAATGCACAAACTGATAAATTTTGTACACTGCCGTTCACATTTTTGTGGTCAGTAAGATTTTTAATTGCTTTTGAAAGAAGTCTCTTATGCTCACTAAGCCTGCATTTATTTTTAATATATTTTAAAATGTCATTTATTCTTAGCAAAGCTTAATTTTCAGCATTCAGTGTCACATGATCCGTCAGAAATCATTCTAATATGCTGATTTGGAGAAAATATTCTAAATATCATTAATGCTAAAAAAAACAGCTTTGCTGCTTGATATTTTTGTGGAAACCGTGATACATATTTTTCGAGGTTCCTTTGATACATATAAAGTTCAAAAGATCAGAAGTTATTTAAAAAAGAAATCTTAACATTATGACTCTCTTTACCATAACGTTTGATCAATTTAATGTGTCCTTGCTGAATTAAAGTATTACCTGCTTCTTCTTCAAAAAATAAATAAATAAATAACGTAATAAGCCCAACTTTAGTGTATTTTGAATAGAATGTAAATTCCTTTAGATAAAAGCATCCATTGCATGCATAATTACATGTACAATGTAAAAATTTCAAATTCAATAATCACACTCGGTATAATCACAGTATGAAAAATCTAAATCTAAACTCTGTTAAATGCTCTGCGAAAAATTTGAGTGTAATGGACACACTGAATAATATCACTTATGTATGAATGTACTAAAAAGTGGAGGGGACATATTATTAACCTCATCGGCTTAGATCATGAATATTAATTAGGTGATGTAACAATTGCCTAGTCCATGCTGAAAGGCAGGTACAGTAAGTGGGTGTTAACCATAACCAACTAGTAGACTGTTTAGTATAAAAGTCATCATTTCACAAGGCTGGGTACAGCTTTTTCTTCATACTGCATCAGAAACGCCACCAAAAAGAGGGGGAACAAGCTTTTAAATTGACTAAAACCCCCCTTGTTCTAATGGTTGCAACACCCCTGACGAGCAGTACAACTTTTGCATTCAGTGAAATGTATGAAGTGGATTTGCTCTCAGTGCTCTTGGGATGTAACATGATAAGCCTACATATTTTCAGCTGCATGGACACTATCCTTTAAAGCCAATTGCATTAAGGAGGAACAGGCTTTGAGAATGAAAGTGATTTCCTGTTCCTTCATTAGGGTCAGTTATTCCCCACTTGGCTTTACTGAAGAAGAGCCAGTGTTCTTTGTCTGTGCGAGACTATGAGATCAATGTAACCTGTGAATGAAACCCATCTCACACAGCTGCGAGAGATCGTTGAGGCCCACGTGACAGCATCTGGGAAAACACTGAGATCATTGCCCAGCTGGACTCACCTTCTCTATCCGCAGAGGCAGGCCATCTTTTTTCCACTTCACTGAAGTGACAGGCGGGTTGGCATCCACCGGGCAGCGGATGTACCCCGGCAGTCCGATGGCCACGTAAATAACGGGCGGCATGTTTACCACACGGGCAGGGTCTACAGGACACAATGATAGTAGAAACATTAAATACAGCATAAAAGCTTTGCTGTTATAAAATTAGACATCGAAGGTTTTGTGCATTGTTAAACTGTCAGTGTTAATCAGTGTGTGAGATGAGACAAAAAGATCTGAACTAGCTCAGACGGAGACTATTACTCAGCTAATCGGAGTACAGTACAGTAAGTGCCTTGGGAACAGATGGGAAAAAATTAGCGACAGCCTACATAACTGAAATACAATATTTTTTTAATATTTTCAAAAGAAATATGAGTGGTGTTTACCCATGTAAAACTCTACAAAACATAGACAGTTGAAAAGACATGGCTAGGATCTTGTGCAGATTTTTTTTATTTTTTTTATTGAGAGCCCGAAAAACAAAAAAGACCCCAAATGCCTATGGAATTCTGGTCACTAGATAGTTGACTGAACAGGCAGCATGTACTGTAGTATAAGGCACTTTCTAAGGTAACTGGTTTAAGATCAGCTTCCAACCATAACATCATGTCTAATGATATAAACAATTTTAAGCAAGCCTTAGATATAACTATGTGTGACGATGTGTATTTCACTGTAGAACTGGCGTTTAAGTAGATAGATAGATAAAAAGATAAATAAATAAATAAATAAATATTCAATATATATATATATATATATATATATATTTAATTATTAAACAAGGATGCATTAAATTAATCAAAAGTGACAGTAAAAACTTTTATAATGATACAAAAATGTTATATTCATCAAATAATCGTGAAAAACTGCATTGTGGTTTTCACGAAAAATATGAACTGTTTTTAGCATTGATAATAACAATAAGAAATGTTTCTTGCATACCAAATCAGCATATTAGTATAATTTTGGAAGAATCACGTGACACTGAAGACTGGAGAAATTATGCTGAAAAGTCAGCTTTGCCATCATGGGAATAAATTACATTTTACAATATATTGAAATAGAACACAGTTATTTTGATTTGTAATAATATTTTACAATATAATTTTATTTCGGATTAAATGAATGCAACCTTGGTGAGCATAAGTGATAAAAAAAAAAAAAAATTCTAACCATCTCCAAACATTTGAATGGTAGTGTAAATAAACAGTCCATCAGACATGGTTTTATTCTTTGAATCAAATGCATATATACAAAGAATTGTGTGATATCATATGCAATGAAGGATACATATTGTATTTGCTGCCTTCAAAAACCAACCAGGTGCTGTGAAAAGCCACTATTAATAGCGTTTTCACCAGTTCCCGAAAAATTAGCAAGAGGATGATTTCTGATTACTTTTTAATTCATTATATTGTATAAACTACATCTAAAGCGAACAGTATCAATGATGCTGTAAAAGAGATTCAGTCGCGTGTGACTCATAAATCACTGTCTCTCATTAGTGAAGACACCAGCCAACCGCAGCATGCTGGAGAGCGAGAGGGAGCGGCGCTCCGAAACGAACACTTTGAAAAAATCCAATGCTCCATCTTAAAACCCGGGTCTATTTTTAGCACAAGTGGAGCTGTGGGACGGGCTGGCGGGAGGAGTGGACCAGAAAGAAGTGTTGAGTTGAAAAAAGAACAGAAGAAAAGGGAGTCGTGAGGACGTAAGGACAGGATTGCTGTGGATTAGAAACGAAAAGGGGAAGGAGGAGGGAAAAAGGAGCAGACCTGCAATGCCGTCAGCTGTCTAACGGGGCCGCCAGCGCCCACGCTAACAGCCTGCCGGAGTGTCTGCAGGTGACGTCACTGCAGAGAAGAGGGTTTCCACACTGGATGATGTCATCCCTTTACATTCCTCCCTCCCTTTTTTCACTAACTGTCAAATACACTTTCTCTGCACATCTGCTCGCTACACACATGGGCGGCCAGAATATGTGCCGGTTTTAGAAAACAGGTGAAAATTTCTGCAGTCTGTCCCTCTCTGGGAATTCTGCTATGATGTAATCCCTTTCCGCCACTTCAACAGAGCCAAGCCGGTCCGACACAGGCTGATCTGCTTCCTCTGAGCGAGGGAATTTGGAATGTCTGTTACCTTGGATACCACAGCCAATTTGCAGTGCTCATTCCCGTCACTATTTACTGCAAATGCAACATGTTTGTGTATTTTCCCCTGCTTTTTTTTTTTCAACAACGTCTAGAGAAGCCTCTACACACTGGTTCTTTGCATCAGTCTATCGGAGTGGAGGACGTGAGCCATGACTGAGTGATCGGCTAGCTTACTGACTCAAGGTCACTGTTTCAATTCTGCTCCAGACTCCGGGGACAGAAGGCCATTCCAATCTCTCGGCTGCAAATAGAAAGCGTCAGCCTTCCCAACAGCGGTAGTTGAGGCTAATGCACCCTCATGCCCATGTATTGAGATGGAATACGCTGGGAGACTAAAGTAACCCTGTCATCAATTACAAAAGATCACCATGCAAGAAAAATCTGTTATATATCTTTGTAATTCTGAATACATGATCCCGATGTGAAAAATCTGGTCCATGATGAAAAGGCGTAATCTGCTGGTGAAGGTTGTTACTTTATTTTCATGCTCAATCCAGTGAGGCCAATGTCAGAGAGGATGAAGGAGAATTCATCCTCTATTACATCATGTATGACATTAGGTAATACAATAGGCAACTGGGAATTATTGCTTCATCTACATATATATGGACCTCCTGATTTAAGTGATTTTGTAAACTTATACTGAATGAAGAGATTACATATGATACGATAACAACATTTTACTATAACAAATTAATTTTAGATGAAGCAGTAAATCCCAGTTGCCTATTGTGTAATGTCATACATAATGACCTACTGTATCTGCATTGGGGTTCCAACATTTGCGATCATACGGAGATCATCAATATGGGAATAAAAGGTCTAACTCATTTACTACAAAGTGTAATGATAAGGATTACTTGGACACTAATGAAAAAAATATTAGCAAATTTGTGACACTGACAATGTGTACAACATTGTTTAGAAGCACAAGATGCTTTGGATCATCTGAAGCTGATCATAATGTTCAACAAAACAGAACCACTTTAACTTTGGCTCTTAGATTTTTGAGGGGTATGATCAGCTGGATATATTGACTGGAAGTAAAAATACCAAATCGATTCTATTCTGACGGTTTCTCGCCTACACTCCACAGTATATTTCAGCATCTGCTCGGAGCAATGCAGAGAGTTGTTTAGGGGCACTAGCAACGGATACATGTTTTCAGATGAAAGACAAAAATCTAATATGTATCAGCAGATTGCTCCACAGAATGACTCACAATGCACTGTCAGGTATGCTGATGCAGAAGGTGGGCGGCCAAGGCTGTTACTCGGGCTGCAGGTGTATCTCCCAGCATCCTCAGGTTTCACCTGGGAGATGATGAGTGAACCGTCGATCAGAATACTCACTCTGCGCTTTAGGTCACTGGAGAGAGAGAAAGAGACAGAGCTGATTTAACACAAGCAGTATTAATAATGACGATTTCCACAATTTACGTTAGTAATACTTTTATTTAGCAAGGATCCGTCAAATTGATCAGAAGTGACAGCAAAGACAGTTCTAATGTTACAAAAGATTTCTATTTCAAATAAATGCTGTTCTCCATCAAAGAATCCTGGAAAAATCATGGTTTCCAAAAAAATAACTGTTTTTGAGTAGTATTAATAAGAAATGCTTCTTGAGCAGCAAATCAGCATAATAGAATGGTTTCTGAAGGATAAGATATAAAATGTATTTTATTTTAAATTGTATTAACATTTCACAATGTTACTGTTTTACTGTATTTTAGATCAAATAAATGCTGCCTTGGTGAGTATAACAGACTTATTTCAAAAACATTTATAAAAATCTTACTGACCTCAAACTTTTGAAAGGTATTGTACATTCTTTTTGTGTTCCAGGTACTGGAACGACATGAACGTGAGTAAATGATTTTCTTTTGTAAACTATCCCTAAAAATATATATGCCTACGTAAATTTATTTTAAGCCAGAAAATAAAGCACAAAGCCTCATGAATTACAGTCTACTCTTTCAACAAGAACAGATGGAGTGTCCGGGGCAGAGATCAGAGAGAGAGAAAAAAATGCATCAGTGGACAAAATGCCTGCGTGGCCTCAATTCTTGCCTGTGCTTCCACCTGTCCTGGTGCACAGTCTCTATTAGAGAAAAAATAACATAATATCCTTTTTCTATAGAGTGTACAGGCCACGCATGAGGGCGTCTTAAATGGCTCAGGGCACCGCTACTTATAATCAGTGCTAGTGGAGCGTATGATGACACAAGCGGCATGTCACTGGATATTCTTGTCATGGGGGAGAGAAGGAGAACAGCGAACCATGAAAACCTGAGAGGGTCAATGGTGAGGCTACGGTTATCGTTTATCGTATATATAATAGTGGCCGTTCACTATATTCCCTTTTCTATTCAAGGTTAACACAGAGGACACACCATTTTATGTAACATTTCTGTTTCTATTACTGTTTCTTTAAACATACCCTCTGATGTTCATTCATGTTTATTTTGTGCTGTAACTAGTAGTAAAGAGAAAGAGGCAATGCAGCAATGTGGCATGCCACAGTAGGAGTGCTAAAAGTCTATTTATGGTTTGAATTTCATAATAAAACTTAATTTTGAAAGCCGAGATTGTTTTATATCAAAATATATCAATATATAAAAAATAACATCAAATAACCTGCTCTGTCTTTTCTGTCAGCGCATTGTCCGTATCTTTGTTCCGCAATGTTTTTTTCACTGCGTGAGAATGTGGATGTGTGGCGTGAGAGCGTGAGAACAATGTCTCTTCTGTGAGTCTCACGCTGAATGAGTGAGAGTTGGAAGCCCTGATAGTTATTTATGCTTTTACCTTAGCAACATGCTAATGCTAAAGTCATGTGAGGAGTAGCTTCCTATTTTTAGTGTCCCCAATTAGTCACTTAGAAGTTTCAATTTCAGTTGGAATTGATGGCCTTCGAAGTATATATTAGAAAAATGTTTTTTGTTCACACATTGGCCACAATTATTGGCACCCCTAGAAAAAATATTATGAGTAAAATATCTCATGTATTCCCAGTCATATTTACATGTAATTTAGCATGTAAACATTAAATTATCCAGCCATGACTTCCCGTTTCATAAAAGTATAAATATGAAGAAACACAAAGGGAAAATTCCCTTGATCATCCATCAAAATGAGTAAGACCAAAGAATATAGTTCTGATGTGCAGCAAAAGATTGTTAAGCTTCACAAAATAGAAAAAGGCTGTAAGAAAACAGCTAAAGCATTGAAAATTCCCATTTCCATCATCAGGGCAATAATTAAGAAGTTTCAATCAAATAAAGATGTTACAAATCTGCCTAGAAGTGGATGTGTGACTATATTGTATTAATGTATGGTAAGGAGGATAGTTTGAGCGGCCAAAGACTCTCAGAAAAAAAAAGAAAAAAAAGTTCTAACAGCACCTACATCACCACATGGGAGGGTTTCAAAACAAATCATCTGCTCTCATCCAAAAACAAACTCCAGCCTATTCACTTGTCAGACATTACTAGAACTTCAACCGGTCCTGGACATCTTGTTCAGATACATGGCATCAGGGATTCTATCAAATACCAAAAGATTAAAAAAATCTAAACCTGACGACCTCTGCTAGAAAGCGTATAATGGGCCGTGGTTGGATCTTCCATCAGGACAATGGTCCAAAAAAAAAAACAACAACCTCAAAATAAACACAAAAATGGTTCACTAAGCTCAAAATGAAGCTTCTGCCTGTGTGTCTGGGTCTGTATGGCGGAATGGCTTCTGATCTCTTGTTAGGTGTTCTCCAAACTCAGAGCTTTTATCTTGGCAAAAGGAGGTTGCAAAAAATATTGAATAAAAGGGTGCCAATAATTGGGTTCCATTAATTAGGTGACTGACTATGACTGTATATTTGTAATCCCACAAGTGTGATGAGGGACATTGAGTAATAAAATTGTTATTTGACTAATATTAATGTATTACTTTAAACATTTGGTCCAGCACACACAGGGCAAAAGAGACACGAATGAGACAATCTGAGGTGTGAGACCTTCAAACAAGTATAATGACACAGGGACACATGCACACATGTAAATACAAGTGGGAAACAAATAGCATAATTTCATACTAAACTTTAATTTTTTTCAACTCAGAATGCTAAAACCTCACAAAACCAAGTATCCCTTGTAAAATTGCATCTTTTTTTGCAAAACATTCAGGGGCGATTCTATGGCTACGTTTACACTAGTGCATTTTTGTTTTAAAACTTCTTATTATATTTTACATCTTCTTCCCCTTCTTATATCTGTGACTTAGCCACCCTGCGTATCCTTCCCTGATTCGTCAAGCCCCTACGCTACTGAGACATGACAATAACAGACCAACCTCGATGCCCGTGTAAACATTAACATGGAGATGAAACTGCAAGCTTTACTGACTTAGTTCAAGCTATTATTAGAGCAATCGGCAACTCTTTACATTTTTACGTGCATGCCCAGTGTGCATGAATGATCACAAGCGTTTTCGGTCGTGTAGCATGGACGGAGATCTTTTCTGAAACGCAGTGGAAACAGCAGTATGGGCGTAACGAGGATCGGTTTCATTTAAAAATGCCGTGTTAACGCACTAGTGTGGACATAGCCTACGCTTTCAATTGTAGGAGGCCCAGAGCTGCTTTTTAAAAATAAATGTAAATTAAAAATGCATCTGTTTATAGATGTACACTACGGTTCAAAAGTTTGGGGAGGGTAAGATTTGTTTATTGTTTTTGAAAGAGTCTCTAACACCGTGTCTACACCGGACGCGTATGGTGTGATGTGACAAAAGACAATAGAACCCTTTATAATCAGTTATGTTGTTTACACTGGATGCAGCGGACTCCAAGCACTCACGATACGTCTCATAGGAAGGACAAATGGATTTGTAACGATCGCTTTATCGCGTCCGGCATAGACATGGTGTTATGCTCGGCAAGGCTGCATTTATATGATCAAAAATACAGTTAAAACAGTAATATTGTGAAATATTATCATATTTTTATTTACTATCATATATATCATTAGAAATAACTTTTCTATTTGAATATATTTTAAAATGTAATTTATTATGTATTATTATCAAAGTTGAAAACAGTTGTGCTGCTTAACATTTTTATGGAAACCATGATCATCTTTTTTTCAAGTTTCTTTGATAAAAGTTTAAAAGAACAGCACTTATTTAAAACAGAAATCTTTCGTATTATTATAACGTATTTGATGTCACATTTTATCAATTTAATGTGTCCCTGTGGAATAAAATACATTTCTTTTTTCTTTAAAAAAAAAAAAAAAAAAAAAAAAAAATCTAACTGACCCCAAACTTTTGAATGGTGTGTTCGGATGAGTTCGGATGAGAAGCCCTCTAAATACAGTTTAACGACACCTACGATTACATTTCAGAACATTTCTTAACAAAAGGCCTTACAAAGTGATTGACCAAAGCCTAAAACAGTATTACAATGCCCATAGTCCCTAATGGCAAACTCACTGATGCCTCAATGATGATGACGAAACTACATGGACTGTGACAAACTCCACATGGACACAGGACAGTGGGGGTATGGTACAGTAATGAACCCGATCATAACTTTACTTCTTGAAGTAGACGTTATCTTCCTCCCAGAACCAGGTGTACGTTAGGTTGCCAGGATATGCCTCAGCATGACAAGTGAAGAATGCATCCTGGGATATGTTTACGGTTATGTTCTCTGGCGGTGAGACAATAAATGGGGGTCCTGAAATAGAAAAGAGACACATAATAAATCACCATTACACATCAGGATGCGTCACATCCTATTGGAGCATATAGCAATCTCAGTACTCTTCAAGGATAAAAACAACTAGATCTGGAGAAAAGATTTCATATGAGTGTTTTTAATCATGTATATTTTCATTCTGTTGTTTTGAATTCAACAGCTGTTAAACAATCAACACAATCCACAATTGTGGAGTGAATCAAGTGAAGATTGTATTCAGTCAATGCCTCACTTACAGTGGTGTACATACTGAATGAAGAGTTAATATACACTGCCAGCCAAAAGTTTGGAATAATAATTACGTTTTATGCTCACCAAGGCTGTATTTAGTTGCACAAAAATACAGTAAAAACATCCTGCAAGTTTCATAGCTTGAAACATCCTCCTCATTATAAACAAAGCATTTATTTAATCAAGCTCCAAAAGATATTGCGAGATCTTTGACATCACACAGCAAATATATTTGCATATGATATGACTGCCTCCAGAGCAAGACATCAATGAATAGTTATTATATATCATTATAAATCATTATTATTATACATCATAGGCCCCACCTACTCGCATTCAGTCACTTAACAGCTGACACAAGATGCCTACACTGGATGAAATACCATTATAATCACTGACGCTGTCTACACTGGAAACAGTATACAGATGCGCGTTCAGTTTCTGACATACTCCAACACGCTTGAGTCTGCATGACAAATACAAGAGTGAAAAAACATCCCGGATCGTGTCAGAGGATCATATGTTTGTTCGGAGCATTTTGTTTTGTAAACATGGCACAGTATAATGGAGAGTTGGCAAAGAAACTTTTGATGAAAGATGCCAATTTTATTGGATCTGACAGCAGGTGAATAACAAACCGTAAGTAAATGATTTCATAATGCTTTGTCTGTAAATGATAGGGGTTATCTTGGATAATGTTTGCAAAAGACTTATTTATGTGCAATAGCGAGTGGGCATTGATACTGTTTCCTATGGTGCAAAAAAAACAAGTGAACCTCAAGGAACATATTAAAATAATAAAAAATCCATGGCATGACCACTTTAAACTAAACATTAAAAACACTAGATAAAAACATGTAAAAAATATTAGAGGTACCCTCAGCTGTAACATACATATTTGGATCAACCGTCTCATTTGAATATCATCGATTAAGATGATAAGAATTGTACTCAGTGTGAGAATCTGCAGCGGGCTACAGACTGTACTGCCCACTGTGGGCATCGCTTATGTTGGCAGTGCCAGTGTAAAGAGAGGGCTCTTCTGTGGAGAAAGCCTGCAGAGATCTCCACATGAAGGCATGGACTCTACAGATGCTCTCTGTCCTGCTCTATACACACACAAACACACACACCAGTACAAAAACAAACTTGCAAGACAGCCATCGTGTCTGCAATACCATGTTTCTTCAACTACCCGCTTTTTTGTTTCAGCAGTTGAAAAACGTTTTTTTTTTCCTTTTTTGTTATGGGATAGTCTTATTAAAAATGTTAATTCTTATTTTTGATACTCTTCAAATGCCTTTTATGTATACATTTTTATTGCTTTACCCTTGCCATTCAGTCTTAAAATACGTGATAAACTGGTCTAGACCAGTACAGAATTCCATGAGACAGTTTCCTGAAAATGTGCTTGCTCCGGTACACACTAGAGCTTATTCTGGTAAAGACCTACCTACTTACAGATGAACAGATCACATGATCACTATGAAAAGTGATCAAAGTTGTTACGTTGATAGCAAAATTGCATACAATAATTTACTTGATATTAACAGCCTTCGTTTTTTTAAAAACAATTCCACCAGTAGGGATCAAGTATGGATGTCCATTTCGGCCTCAGTTGAAAAATATGATGGTGAATCTGTAAATAATAATAATGAGAAATGTTCTTTTTAATTATGACTTAGTATCTCATTATATTGAGAATATCTCTCATTATAATGACTTGGCATTTCATAATAATGGGAAACTTTCTCATAATGAGAAACTTTCTCATTATTAATGCTTAGTATCTCATAACAATGAGAAACTTTCTCTTGATTTATTGTTAATATCTCATAATGATGAGAAACTTTCTTAAAATGTACTTAATGTCGTAAAATTTAGGGGAAAAATGAATAAATGACTTCTCATAATAATGGGAAACTTTCTCATAGTTAATGCTTAGTATCTCATAACAATGAAAAACTTTCTCTTGATTAATTGTTAATATCTCATAATGAGAAACTTTCTCATTATTAATGCTTAGTATCTCATAATAATGAGAAACTTTCTTAAAATGTACTTTGTCGTAAAATTTAGAAAAAAATCGAATAAATGACTTAATATCTCATAATAATGGGAAACTGTCATAATCAATGCTTAGTATCTCATAATGAGAAAATTACTAAATATGTACTTTGTCGTAAAATGTTTGGGGAAAAATCAAATAAATGACATAATATTGCATAATAATGGGAAACTTTCATTCTCATAATTAATTTCATAACAATGGGAAATGTCCTCATGATTATTGCTAAGTATCTCAAAACGATGATAAACTTTCTCTTGATTAATTGTTAGCATCTCATAATGGAAAACTCACGATTAATGCTTATTATCTCAATATACCGCAAAGCTTTCTGAATATGTACTTTGTCGTAAAAAAAAAAAAAAATCTAAACTGACTTAATATGTAATAATCTCGTAATAATAAGACATTTTCACATAATTAATGCTTAGTATCTCATAACAATGAGAAACTTTCTCAATATGTACTTTATGTCATAAAAGTTTGAAAAATCAAAACTGACTTGTAATGGGAAACTTTCTCATGATTAATGCTTAGTATCTCATAAAAATGAGAAGCTTTCTCATAATTAATGTTTAGTATTTCATGACAATGAGAAACTTTCTCTTGATTAATTGTTAGAATCTCATAATGAAAAACTCTCATGATCAATGCTCACTATCATTATAATTACAGACTTTCTTAATATGTACTTTGTTGTAAAAATCAACTTAATATCTTGTAATAATGAGAAACTTTCTCATGATTATTTGCTTCGTATCTTATGACAATGAGAAACTTTCTCATGATTATTGCTTAGTATCTCATAATAATGACATACTTTTCTTAATATGTACTTAATATGTTGTAAAATTCAGAAAAAGTCTAATAATTGACTTAATATCTCGTAATAATGAGATATTCTCATATTAATAACTTAACACGCCATAATAAAGAGAAAGTTTCTGTGGGGAATGTGGGCTTCCACACTAAATTACCCCTTCATCAACACCAAATCAGCATGGATAATGTTCCTATTATACTGAATATCATTTAGCATTACAATCAACAGTATTAAATTATTACAATGATTCACTTTTTCTTTTTTCTTTTTTTACTTTAGTAGTTTTATTTAAAACTGGTTTGATAAGCATTTGATGGGAAGGAAAAGAAAAAGAGTAGAATAATTTATTTTTGTTTAGAAGAATGAATAATGTGAATATAGAGGATATCTGCAACAGACACAAAACAGATTAGCGATCCCAACAGGAAAAGGCTTATTTGGCAAAACTATGGTGAAAAAGATCTCTGACAGAGAACCCATTACTGCTCTATACTATACCAGACAGCTAACATATGGAGTCCAATTATCTCTGTAGCTCTGCAGCATGGGTCTATTGCAAGCATGACATTGCAAACACAGAAGACCGTTCAAACACAGCACAGAACTCTGACAACATGATAGTCATGTCATTCAAATAATAGCAAACAATAAAGACATGGAGTCAAGTCAGAGCAAGGGTACTACCTTGGACGAGTAAGCGTGTGGTATGGATGGCCTCTCCCTGCTCGCTGTACGCTCGGCATGTGTACGCTCCCCTGTCCTCACGGCTGATGGAAACAAGCGTCAGGCTGCCATCACTGACCTGTGGAGAGAGGTCACAGCATCACCTACTGAGATACAAATGAACAATCTTATAAACATAAAGAAAACAATCTCGCTGACAAGTGTTGGGGGTAACGCATTACAAGTAATGTGAGTTACGTAATCATATTACTTTTTCAAAGTATCAAGTAAATGCATTACTTTTTACATTTACAGTAAAATATCTGAGTTACTTTTTCAAATAAGTAACGCAAATTACTTTATTTTCCCATTAACTGACGCCGCTCCTGTCCCCATGCTGAGAGAAATCGGGAGTAAGTCCAGAGGCGTTGTGTGCACGGTGTAAACATGATAGTTATTGTAGTTCTTCTAGACTATCAGAATATTATGCAAACCTGCAATAATTCAATTTGATAAATGACACAATTGTACTTTATGTGCTTAATCTCACTTTACTATGCGTCTTTGCTGCTGACCTTCGATGATCCAATTCAACCATAGCAATAAGCAAACATTTCTTTAGATAAACATCACATTTCTGCTTCATTTGTTTGTTTTTATTGCTGAAGTAAGAGTGCTGAACTTTCTTCTCCTGTGTCCTATTCTTCTGCAATCCAGAATGCCAGCACAACTAAAATGTGTGTTTGAGCTGCACCCTCTACAGTACAGGCATGAATTTGCATTTGATTCAGCCTGAGACTTAGTCATTTCTCTTTTGGTGAGAAAGGGCCTTTACATTTGCCAAAAACAGAACTTTTTAATTAAAAAACAAGCAAGAAAGCCCAGCCTAGGTGAGCAAAAGTATGCAAAAGTAAGTTTATATCCTTGAAATAGAAAAACATGAATGTAAAAGTCAAATCCCGTTTTGCTTATTAAACCGTTCATGTGGGGTTTTTAAAGTCTGTTTGCTTCAAGTCAACAGTAACATCTTGATAATCCCAAAGTGTGAGCTACACAACTTCTCACTTTTTATCTCTGTGAAAGGTTTCACTTATTTGTCTTATATGAACACAGATCAGTAGAAATTATGTGTTGGGGGAACCCTGCTCAGCATCCCATGAGATCCATTTTTCCTGCAGACATTCCCACAGTTATGTTACTTCAAATTCAAAACATGCATCATGAGAGGGGCCACTCTTACAAGCTTATATGACAACTTATAAAGAATAAAACAATTTGAGAAAAGAATTGTCTCGTACACAGTACAAACAAAAATGCTTTGCAGTGAAATCACTGTGAACCGGAAACATAGAGGCAGAGACTGCGTAGGAGAGATCAAACAAACCAGGCCACTCCAACAGAGACTTAAAGATCAATGTGCATCTCTCTTTCTGTGCCCACACAAGCGTTATTTCCATTTTACCAATGGCAGAGCAGTTCTTGCATTTATCTAATATGCTCTGGGTTATTCTTGGTTAGATTGGATGAGGTGTGGACCAAGGAGGGTTTGGAATTTGTATTAAACATTTTAGAAATTAGGATGCAAAAGCCTAATTTACAGTGTGGATATATCCACCAATTTTGGCCATGGCCAGATTTGTCCCCACCACTTGAAATATGAAATAGCTTACAGCAGGGATGAATGTAATACAAAGGAAGCATCTACAATTGTTAGTATTTGTTTATTATTATTTAAACTTTTATTTATACTATTTTATACTATTTATTCACAAATAAATAAATCAGTTCACTTTACACTGGCACCCCTTGTACTGAAAGTTAAAATGTAACCACTGGACCAACAATTAACATTCAATTGCTGATCCATACATTTAACCACCAACCTACCAGAATGTTGCTACTAGGATACATCACAATGCTTTTGAGTGTCAAAAGGTCAAAAGGCATGCACTTTTGAGGAGGCTGGCAGTTTCAGGAGTGGGATGGTCTACCACAGTTGAAATGGTACTGTGGATGGTACACAATAATCTTTTCGAGACAAGGCCACGCTTACAAGAGGAGAGTGTTTCAGCTTGTTTTGGCATTGAATTGTGCACATGGTCTCAGAGAGTGAGCAGACACACAGCTGAATAATGGATTTACTCTGTACAAGTGTGTGTGTTTGGTGGCAGAGGGGCAGGTAAGGGGAGGGATGCAGATACTACTGTATGCATGATTCATCGGTACATGTTATTCCAAAGGAAAAAAGGTTTGTCTTAAACATTGTAATAACTTTCTCCACCTTTGAAACAACTTTCTTCTAAGCTGACATCACATAGGCAGCGTGGGCACTGAAAATAATGCAGCTTTTCTAAACTCTAATGGTTAATGCATTATTTTAATGCAGTTTAATGTAAATTAACGTTAATACTAAATATAATATAGGTTATGGCAATAATATCAAATAACAGATTTTAGAAATAAGCATTTACCACTGGTATATGTCACAAGGCTTAAGGGTAAAAAGGCCTTCTCAAAAATAGGTACATGCTGGTGTTTTCAGGAAAGAAACTGTTCATTCTCATTTCTTATAATCATTTCTCAAGCCCTAAACGTTTGTCACGAGTAATGTCCATGGTTATTTTCAGAAACTAAAATTGAATCAACTGATTAAAAAACATTTTGAAAACTGAAATAAAAGAAAAATTAAATGAAACAATTAATAATAATAATAACAATAATAATTATCAAAAATAAATAATAGTTTTCATAATCAATAAGCTCTTATCTCATGGTGAAAAAATCTGACATCCTATTTCAACTAATTTCATATCGTCACAGCTTGGTTGCTGCAATAATCACTCGGGAAAAAAATCCCTCAAAAAAGGAAACACTCTTTCTTTCCAGCGCAAACGTTCCCTGGTGCTATTTTGCAGTTTCAGAAAACAATTCCGCCACTGACCAGGAAAAACCTAGTCTAAAGTCGGTGGCGCGTTATTCAGATGCTATTTTAAGGGCGCATGCTTGGCCATAATGTAGCGTGTGCACAACTCGCATACACTTTGCTTCTCTCATCTACACAGACACAGCAGTTCCCATACATAATTACAAGGAAAAATTGTCACGGTTCATGGATTCATGGACTCTCTCTCGCTATGTGTGTGCGTGCTGTGTGAATGGGCGTGGCTCGTCAGCTGGCTCGTTCCACTGATGAGGATGTCCTATATATTGTTTGCTCACTCGTCTTGTCTCTGTCAGATGGTTGTGGAGGTTCTCCTGGGTCTGAGCCTGTTCCCCTGTTCCTGTCCTGCTTCTTCGACGCTTCCATAGGATCTTCTCCACGTTGGATCTGCATTCCGCCCGCTGAGTCCCTGCGTTGCCTAGTCTGCCCGAGCGTGTTCTGTGTTCACCTGAGGATTCTGCCACTTCATTCCCTGAGTCTGCCGAGGATCATCGATCACCTCCATTCTGAGTTTGTCTATATGAGAACTGTAACCTATTCGTTCAGTACGATCCTTGTGGATGCTACCTGTCGAATTGAGTCTCTTGTCTTCTCTTTTGACAAATAAATACTTGTTCACTCGCATCTGAATCCTTGACTATCTTTCAGTGATCCATGACAGAACCATCTGACCACCATCTCATGGATTCAGCGAGTGACCCCGGGATCGAACAGATGTTCGCTGGAAGCCACGCCCGGATGGATCGCCAGGACGAGCAGATCGGAGCTTCGGGACGGGCGATACAGGCTTTGGTAACGCAGGTGTCCGAGCTCACCTCTCAAATTCAACGCCTGAGAGTTCCCACTGCGCCGGCACCGCCCCCGCCTGTTCCCCAAGGGATTTTCCAGCAACCAGAGCCGCGTGCCCTCGCACCAGAACCGCGCATCCCAGCACCTGAAAGGTATTCGGGCGAGCCCAATCTGTGCAGAACGTTCCTGACTAAGTGCTCTATTTTTTTCTCACTTCAGCCAATGACATTTGCGTCTGAGGAGTCGAAGGTAGCCCTGGTGATGACACTACTTTCTGGCCGCGCGGCTCAGTGGGGAACAGCGGTGTGGCAGAACAGACATCAGTGCTGCTCCTCGTTCCAGGCACTCGAGCTAGAGATGACACGAGTGTTTGACCGCGCCGTCGCTGGACGCGAGGCTGCCCGCCAACTCGCCGACCTTCGCCAGAACCAACTGTCAGTCTCTGACTATTCCATAGAGTTCCGGACATTGGCGGCCGAGTGCAAGTGGAACGAGGAGGCGCAGTGGGACATGTTCCTGCATGGGCTGGCTGACCGCGTTCAGAGGGAGATTTATACCCTGGAGCTGCCCAAGACACTGGATGGACTAATCGAGTTAGCATTACGAGTCGATGCTCGCCTTCAACAGCAGGAGAGCCGACCATACCGGATGCCTGCGGCCGAATTCACCACGAGTTCCAGTGCCCGGAGCTTGAGCGCGGTCAGTCCCCTGAACGATCCTGAGCCCATGCAGGTAGGTCGAGCTCGGCTTTCCCGGGAGGAGAGAGAACACCGTCGCTCGAGGGGTTTATGTCTTTACTGCGGGGAGGCCGGCCATTTCGTCAACACCTGTCCTTTAAAAGGCCAAGCCCGGCGGTAGGACGGCGGCTACTGTCGGGCGGGCTCTCCATGACTGGACCCTCGAGCGCCACTCTCCTCCCGGTTAGACTCCAGTGGGCGGAACACTCCTTCAGCTGTCAAGCGCTGGTGGATTCGGGAGCAGAGGGAAACCTTATGGACTTTTCACTGGCACGCAAGCTTCGCCTCCCCATCACTACGTTAGAGAGAACGATCACTATCAACGCACTCAATGGGCAAGAACTCCCGGGTATCACTCACTCCACCGGACTTATTACACTCATTACCTCGGGAAACCACACTGAAAAGACTTCACTCTACCTCACTCAGTCACCTCACGCTCCTATTGTCCTGGGTCACCCGTGGTTGGTTCAGCACGGACCTCGGATAGAGTGGGGCCAAAACTCTGTTTCCGCGTGGAGTAATGATTGTTATGCCTCATGTCTTTTGTCTGCCGTCCCGTCTGTTTCTCGTTCTGTGTTGCAGGAGGAGTCGGTGAATCTGTCTAACGTGCCACCGGAGTACCGCGACCTGAAGGAGGTGTTCAGTAAGTCTCGGGCTGCTTCTCTTCCT